CGTCTTCGCGCCTCAATGTCTCGCATCAGCAGCAGCAGCAGCAGCGCAGCTCTGGCGAGGCCGACGCCGACGGCTCCGGCTCCGGCTCTGGCGGCAGGCTGAGCGAAGGCGGCGACGAGACCGAGACGGCCGACAACCCCCTGGACGCGAGGTCCCGGGCCGCCGCAAGAGGCTCTGGCGAGCTCGGCGAGGGCATGCCAGTGTCCATCTTTGGACGAAAGGGTGCGGCGCTGCGGGATGGGGGCAAAGGTCGAGCGCGCGAGGGCACCGATTCGGACGAGGCCAGCCCGGACGGCGCTGTCGTGGATGGCCGCCTTGACCACCAGCAGCACGAGGGTCGGGCTCCGAACATGTCGTCGCCGTCGGCGAGCAAGGACAGCGAGCCGGAGCGCGACCAGGCGTGGCGGCGAAGGTCGCGAAGCCGGAGCCGCAACCGCAGCGGCAACGGCAACGCACCCGCCGACGCTGGCTCGTCGTCGCCCACGTCGATTCCGTCGCCGGGGCTGCGCACGGGGCCCAACATCAATGCGAGCGCCTACATGCACGGGCACCAGCATCCGCGCGGCGCAGGCGGTAGTGGCGGTGGTAACGGTGGCCATCACTCGCAGCAACACCACCACCACCACCACGAGCGCAGCCCGCCGGCGCCGCACCAGGGACGGAGCGCGGGTACGACGACGACGGGGACCGGGTCCGGGTCCGGGTCGGCCTCTGCGATATCCAAGTTCAAGAAGAAGTTTTCGGGTGCGGCCTAGGCACTAGGCACCCTGTCGGGCAGTGACGGCGGCAGCCGGATCGAGCGTTTGCCGTCGGTGCCGTCGCCCCTCTGCTGCTGCCGTCGTCAGACTCTACTGGTGTTGTCGTCAGACTCTACTGGTGCCGTCGTCAGACTCTCCTGACTGCCACGGATGCGCTTACAGCATTTGCCAAGGATGTGGCCCCCTTTATCACCACCGTCATCGTCGTCATGGCCTTTAGCCGCTGTCACGCTCCTCTGTTTCGCTTCCACTCTCATCCTCACGCACGCACGCGCACACGCACACGCTCTCGACTCTGCATGCTCGACCCCCTCCATTGCGGGGACAGCCCAACCTAGCCTAGCCTACCGTCTCCTCTCATTGCCTCTCTTTCTCGGTGGCGCCGAAGCGATCTCTACATTGGCGCCGAGTCAAGTTATTCGCCCGTCGGTCTCGCGCACTGCGGCTGTGCCCTCATCTTTCGTGCGTTGGACGGACGTCTCGACGGGACAGGGGGGAGGACCACCGTCGAATGCGCGCATCGACATCCGGAGTGGCATCGAGGCATCGCGGCTCGCTCGCAGCCTAGTCGGAAGGCTCAGCCAAGTGGTCCGGTCTGGTGTGGTCTGGTGTGGTCCGGTGTGGTCTGTCCATCGACTGGCGAAACGACCAGCTTGGCAGCTGGAAAAGAGTGGGGAAAATCCACGTGAAATTCACGGCCGGGCAGGCGGTGAGGCCGCTCGCTCTCTTGCCTGGCCTGCCTCGCCTGCTGGCTGGCTGTACGTGTGCTCTCAGCGCTCTGTCTCGGAGTTGGGCGAGGAGCTAAGTGAGAGGCAGGCTGGGCGCCAAAACTGTGAAACCGATGCAGATCTCTTGCCTTGCCGCCGTCCTGGACCGCCTTATCTTGCTTGTTGGCTGGCCTGGTCGGCCTGCCTGCGCTGGTCGGGAGGTAGGCCGGCTTTGCGGTCGCGCTTGAGAGACCAACACGCTCGCCCGACCGCCCGACCGAGTCCTGTTGGAGTCCATCGCCCGGCTCACCATGCACCTCGCTGAACCTGCCTTGCCCATCCCTGCCCGCCATCCCACCTCGTTTGAGGCGCACCACACCCCCACCGTAGACTCGCACAGGCGGATGCGCGGGGACACACTCTTCTCACTCTTGGCCCCCGCCCGTCTGGCCCGATCCGATCCGATGTGATCCGGTCCGATTGTGGTCTCCATCCAAGCAGCGCAGGTCAGCACACCGGGGCCCGCCCGCGTGTGACTTTAGAGAAGCCGTCCCAGCCCCTTTTGTGAAATCACGAAAACTTCTCGCCGGCCTGCCCTCGGCCTCGACCTCGGCAGCGCAGCGCAGCGCACGGCGGCCACGAGCCTGTGACGAAAGAGAGGGAGGCGAGAAAAAAAGTGTCAGGCCAGGCCAGCCCAGCTCAGGCTACGACGAGGGGGGCTTGGGCCACCCCAGCCACCCTCGAAGTCGACCTCGCCTTCGACTTCGACACTTGGCTCGCCGATGCCTTTCTGGCGTCGGGCGGCAGCGCACACGATTCAACCAAGGGAGCAACCAAGCAGCCCACAGGCCACCCATCCCCCCCAGTCCCACCGTCCGACCGACCGACCCCCACCGCCCGCGAGCCTGGATCAACCCTTCGTCGACGTCGTCACACTTCTTTCTTCTCTTCTTGCCTCGCCGCGCCACGCCTTTTCCCCCTCTTCCATCGTCCTCGCCCCTCCTGCCCCCTTCTCTCGCCTCACCTCACCTCGCTCCGACGCCGCACGACTGCACGACCTGCATCATCGAGTGCCTCGCCCCGTCTCTGTCCACCGGCCCGCTCGTCTCCTTCTTCTCTCAAGGACGACCGCAGATCCCCAGCCTCGTCTTCCTTCCTCGAGGCCCACCCTAGACCGGCCAGGCTTCCTCTCTTCTCTCTCTTTCACCTACCTCTCCACACTGAGCCGGACACCATGTCCGACTCGATCTACGCACCGCACAACCAGCACAAGCTCGAGGCCGCCCGCGCACAAGACGCCGCCGCCGCCGCCGCCGCAGCAGCTGCTTCATCCTCGAGCAACGCAACCGGCGACGCAGAGCATGCCACCGACGCCGATGCCAAGGCCGAGCACCAGCCACCGACGCACGACGGCGGCCCAGACGCAAACGACCAGCGACGACCCCCCAACCCGCACCTCACCACGCCCCTCCTCTACATCTCTGGCATCGACCCAAAGGTCTCGGACAGGGAACTCGCCAGCGGCATCTTTGAAAAGGTCCTCCCCGTTCGGTAAGTCGGCCCTTGTCCCGGTCCCGGTCCCTGTCCCTGTCTCTGTCCTTGTCCCTGCCCCGACCTCGACCTCCCGAGCTCCACGACGTTCGACGGCGCACTTCCACCTGTGCACCCGCTCACCTCGCCCATCGATCGTCGCTCGTCGCTCGTCGCTCGTCACCCGCCACCTCTCCTGCCGTCCCCCCTGCCCGCTCCTCCGACCGCCTCGCAGACTCAAGATCAACCGCGATGTCCCCGACGGCCAGACTGCCAGCGGCACCGTCGAGTTTCAGACAATAGACAAGGGTGAGTGGCCTCGCACTCTCTCAATGGCAGCGCTCCTTGGCCGGACAGCGGCGTGCTGACAGCCTGTCGTCTTTCCCTGCCGCCTCTCGCTCCCTGAACCCCTCGACCGACACAGCCGAAAAGGCCTACGCCACCGTCCGCCCGCCGATCCGCCTGCGCATCGTCGACGAAGGTCAGGGACAGGAGCCACGCGCCGCATCCAAGCCGCGCCTGGTCAAGCAGCTGCCGCCGCACACCGACGACGCCATGGTCTACGACATGTTCCGCCCCTTTGGCCCGCTCGTCCGCGCCCACTGCATCCTCACCAGCCCCGCCGGCGTCCACACCGGCTTCCGCGGCATGGCGTCGCTCGAGTACTACTCGGAGCAAGACGCGCAGCTCGCCCAGGACGAGATGCACTGCGTCTCGATCGGCGACAAGACCATCAGCGTCGCAGTCGACTCGGTCCAGCGCCGCCCCACGGGCAACGCCGGCGCCGGCGCCGAGTTCAACGCCGCCGCCGCCCCCTTTGTGCCCGGCGGCCGCTCGATGAATGCCGCAGCGCCCTCGTTTGCGCCCTCGGCATCGGTGTCGTCGTCGTCGGCCTCGGCCTCGGCCAACCGCAACGTTTCGGGCGGATCGGCGGCGTCGATCTACGCCACGGGCGGCGGCAGTCGCAACGGCCACTCGGCCAGCAACGGCCAGGAGACCGGCCCGCTCTTCCCCGTGCCCGGCAGCAACCTCCAGTACTCGGCCGCCGCCGCCACCTACATTGACCCGTGCAACCTCTTTTGCAAGAACCTCGACCCGGCCATCGACTCCAACGAGCTCTTTTCGGCGTTCAAGGGCTTTGGCCGCATCGTCTCGGCGCGCGTCATGCGCGACAACGAGGGCAAGAGCCGCGAGTTTGGCTTTGTCAGCTTCACGACGGCCGACGAGGCGCAGCGCGCGCTGCGCGCCATGCACAACACCACGCTCGGCGCCAAGCAGATCACCGTCCGCCTCCACGAGCCCAAAAAGATGCGCCAGGAGAAGCTGGCGGCCAAGTTTGGCGGCTCCGGCGGCGGAAACGGCGCAGGCACTGGCGGATCGGCCACGCCCAATAGCGACTACGGCGGCATGCGCAGCCCGTCGATCAACGGCGGCGTGGGCGGCGCGGTCGGCGCCGGCAGCATGGGCGACGGGGGCGGCGTCTCGCCCGACGAGCGCCAGGAGCGGCGGATGAGCAACTCGTACTACAAGGCCGCCCTGGCCAACTCGGACGGCGGCGCCATGGACGAGGCGCAGCTATCGTCGCTGACGCCCGTGGTGCGGCGCGAGGTCCTGTCGGGCGAGTTCAGCCGGCGCGTGCGCGAGCTCCCGGGCA